TCCCCGGCTCCGCGCCCGCCGGGCTTCTGTCCCGGGCTGGCGGGGCGAGCCGAGCCGAGCCGGGCCGAGCCGAGCCGGGCCGGGGCGGGGCGGGGGGCGCTCAGGGCGGTCCGTCCCGTCCCTCCCCGTCCCGTCCCGGGTGTCGGGGCCGGGCGGTCAGTGCACCGGGGCGGGCGCGCCGGGCGGCCTCGGCGCCCTCCAGCCAGGCCTGCAGCACCGGCCGCAGCGCCGTCATGTTGTTGTGCGACAGCGTCAGCGACTCGAAGCGGCAGATCGTGCTCTGGCTGAGCGAGCCCACGCCCGGCAGCTTCAGCGCCGCCAGCGCCGCCCCCACGTCGGCCTGGGTCACCCCCAGCCGCACCCGCCGCTGCTTGAAGCGCTCGGCGAACGCCTCCAGCTCCCGCGGGTCCGCGGCGGGCGCCGGAGCCCCCCAGACGCGCACCACGTTCTTCTTGAGGTCCAGCTTCTCGGCGATGGCCGCGATCTTCTCTGCCGAGGGCCGCGGCTGCAGCGCGAAGTACGCCTCCAGCGAGCGCCGCTCGGGCGCGGCGATCGAGGTCCGCCGGCGCTTGCGCTCCGACGGCGACAGGTGCTCCAGCAGGTCGGCGCCGTCCAGCGCCGGGTGCGGGAGCGGGTGCGGGTGCGCGGCGAGGGCGGCGGGGTGCGGGAGGGCGGCGGCGGCGCAGGGGACGCCGCTCATGGCGTGGAAGGCGGCGTCGGGCTTGAAGTGAGGGTGCAGGTGGTGGCCCTTGGCGTGGGGGGCGATGTCCGCGGCCGCCAGCGCCTCGGCGCGGGCCAGCAGGCTCTCATCGAAGCTCCCAAATATATTGCCCTGCAGCTGCGAGCAAGAGCACGCATGGCGAGGTCAGTGGGGAATTCTGTCATCTCCGCCTGAAAAACCGGCCCCGGCACCGCGGGTCCTCCCCGGAGCTCAGGTCATAAAAATTAATAGGAAGACAGCGGCCCCGCTCCGCACGGCGCGGATCGGGGCGGGCACGGGGGGGCGCGGGGCCGCGACGCGCGATGGTGCTGCCGACATGAAAAAAACATTACCCCGGTGCCTGTCAGAAAATGTGGCTCGGAGCGGCAATTGCGCTGCATCCACGTACCTGCGGGGCCGGGAGGCAAACTCTGCGCATCGCCTCGCTGCCGGCGTGCAGGCCGGGGAACTTGGGCTCCTGGAGGGCGGCGGGCACGGCGAAGGGCTGCTTGGCGTCCATGGCCATCATCTCGGCGCGGCCCGCGGGCGGCGGGCCCCGGGCATGGGCGCGGGGCTGCGTCTGCCCTCGGCACTGCCCGAGCCGGCGGGGTTGGGTGGCAGAGCTCCCGCCCCCCCCGCGCCCCCTCGCTCATCTTACAGCCGCCCTCCCGCCCGCCCGCCCGGGGCGCGCACGGTGCCCCCGGGCCCGCCGCCCCAGCCCCGCTCGGGGTCCGGCACCGCGCGGCGCCGGGAGCGGCGCGCAGCCCCCGCTCGAACCCCGCTCTTCCTCGGCCGGCAGGTCCCGGGGGAACAGGGAGGAGCGGGCGTTTCCCCGCGGGCAAACCCCGCACACCCACCCCGGGAAAGCGGCTCTGAAGTTGGCATCGCTCTGCTGCTGAGCCGCCCTTTCATTTCTGCTCTCCCAGTCTTCACACGTCTTCAGACGTTACTGTGCTTTGAGGCACCAGAGATGCAAATATTTCGCAAAATTCAAACCTCTTAAGCAGAAATAAAACCTACTCCGAGATTTAAAGTTTCCAAGTCTTATAAGCCTCGGCAAACACGGACCAAGAGCCGGAGAGCTGCTCTCTGGTTTCTGACAAACGTACTGGCTCTGACCGCGGGCAGAGAAGAGAAGCGCTGCTGCTGCGGTGAAACGGGTTCCTTTGGGACACACGCAGCGAGCCCGGATCGCAGGTCAAGGAGCGGCTCGGGTTGGAGGGGGCTCCCACCGCGGGTCGGGCCGGCCCGGCCGGGCGGGGAGCGGCGGCGGCGGGGCGGGAGCGCGGCAGCAGCACCGCGGACGCTCCGACCCGCTCTGACCCGCTCCGGCCCGCTCCGACCCGCTCCGACCCGCTCCGACCCGCTCCGACCCGCTCCGGCCCGCTCCGGCCCGCTCTGACCCGCTCCGACCCGCTCCGGCCCCCTCCTCGCCCTCCTCGCTCCCGTCCTGTTCCTGTTCCCGTCCTGCTCCCGGGCCGGGCCGGGCCGGGCCGGACCGGGTTAGCGGCTCCCTCCCACCGGGGGGAACCGGCGCGTTGTGGCGAAGCTGCCTGCCCTGATTTATGATAAAACATTTAAAGGAAATCATTTATATTTCAGAGGCCCTAAATAGCTGCATGAAAGTTTTATCTGAAGTGGCACCGCTTTAAAGGCGGCCCTGCTTGCTGGAAGTAATTAATAGAGGGATAAATTTCAGGCCTTTGTTTTGTTTTGGTTTTAGCCCTCCCTTTATTTAGTGCCAGTAAACAAGAAGATGCGGAGGGCGGGTGCAGAGCCCGACTAGCGCCAGTCCGGCTCCCCGGCCCGGCTCCGAGGCTGCTCGCACACTGGCAGCTTTTCCGTCCCTCTGCTGTTGCCTCATTCTCTCCCAGGTGAGGAGAGGCTGCCGGGACCCCGCACGCTCCTTCTGCCGGTCCCGTGGTCGCTGCCACCGCCGAGCATCACCCGCTGTCCCAGCTCAGAGGGTCCCTGTCCCGGCCCGTCCCGGGACAGCTCTCCCGGCCCCCGCCCGAGGCACGGTCCTGCCCGCCCCTCCCGCAGGCAATGCAGCTGCTGAGCTCCCTTTAATTAATGCTGTAAAATATTGATGCTCCTGGCCCCGTCTGCTGCCGTTACACCTTACAGCCGCGGGAGAGGAGTCCAAAGGATAAACAATAACAAGTTAAAGGAGCCCAGATGGTTTGCCATCAGAAACTGTCTGCAGACTCAGAGGTGTCACTGCAATAGATTTCAGAGATCATTCACCTACTGGTAAATAATTAATGACATTTCTGGAAGAAAAAACCCAAACCCATACTCTGATGAAACATTGCTGGTGACTCACTGGAAATCTGAAGGCAAAAGTCAGATTAAAACATGTGCTATTTTATCCTTTGTCACAGTTCATGGATTGTTATCCATTTTCTTAATACATCAAAATATTCTGTTCTTATTTAGATTTTAATTCAAAGCTCAAGACAGAGTGGTGCCAATAGGTTCTAGGTTTCATTGTATGAACTCCATGTAGTTTAAAAAATATGCAGTACATGCTGACACAGGAGTGATGTCCTGTGAAAGTTTGTGAAAGTTTCCTGAGATAAAACCATGAGTTATTTAATCCACAATTCATGCTGGTACCCTCTCAGCCATGTGCTGGGGGCAGCACGATGTGTTACAGTCACCAAGCTGACAGAGCTCACCTCTTTGGATGTTCTTCAGCTGCTGTTCAGAGCAAGCACACGATGTCCTGCACGCCCAGCTCCTCTGGAGGAGGCTGCTGCAGCGTCTGCTGTGAGGCAGCTGAAGCACACACAGCTCCCTCAGGGACAGCTCCCTGCACCTTCAGCCCTTTGCTCCTGCTCTGGAGGCTTGGCTCCCCTCCCCTGCTCACCTCGAGGCCTGGCCAGGTCTCACTGTTGTGCCCTTGTGTTTGTCTTCACTGTGGATCTGGAAAAGAAATCCTGTTTCCAGACCTGAGTCAAGGTTTATGTGATAAAATAACTTCTGTTGCTAAAATACAGCCAGTTCCCAAAACCATAGAATCAGGGGAGGGTTTGTGCTGGAAGGGATCATCCCCAGGCTTTGCTGGACCTCAGGAGGTTCCATGGGCCCACTGCATGAGCTCCTGTGCCTGCTCCACGTGGAGGAAGAGGGCTAGAGCTGACTCTGGAAGGTTCCTCTAGAGCCTGAGCTTGCAGAGCACATTTCCAGCACCCCATGCTGCACCATGGGTGATGCAGTTGTTCCACTGCACAATCTGATCGAGGAAATATCTCGAGTTACCCAGACAGTCAATTATTCATCAGCTAAATGGCCAAGCATCAATTACCTGGCCTGATTCTCTTATTCATTAAGGAGATTGAAGAACCCACCTTAACAGAGCAAAAAAAAAGTTGCTAAGTTACAGGAGCTGTCTGCTGCTGAGGCAGTGTCGGGCTTCCAAAGGAAAGGGCTGCACTGACACTTCCTCTGGGTCTGCAGAGTGACCTCCAGAGCTCTTGCTTCTGTGGAGCCCGTTCCACTGCAGGTCTGGGAGAACGGGCTTGGGAGAGCAGCTCGAGTTGGACTGTGCCTTGTGTGGAACCCTGGGGCCTGAAAGGGAGTCTGGCAGAACTTGGAGGGTTAAAGGGAGGGACCAGGGCAGGTCCCATCGCTCTGGGGAGCTTTCAGTGCAGGTGGGGAAGGGATGGAAAGTGTTTAAAAGAGCACAGCTGCCAGTGGCATCACAGCAAGGACAGGCTTCCTCTGCAGGCAGGGAGCACTTGGCAGGGGCACAGTGAGGGCCACCCCACACAAACCCATGGGGTCTGTGCATCGCTTCAGATTAAGTCAGAAGTACTTTCTCTCCTCTTGTGTAGTTAACATCCAAGCAGATTTGCTGGCTGCAGAGGGGCTCTAGGCAAGCACAGCCCTGGGCAGGTCCTTGGCCTCAGCTGGTGGCACAGGTGGCTCCAGGGCTCAGGGGGTGTTTGTGGGTGTTAATCCCAGAACAAAGCCCAAAGCCTTTGGCACTAGCAGAGCATTGTGGCCCCGTTAGAACACAAGAAGTGCTGAGGCTGTGCTGCAGCTCTGCTGTGCTGGGTGATGGGGCAGGACAAGCAGCCTTGTCCAGCAGCAGCAGGTGGAAAGCTCATCAACTTAGTTTTGCATTTTTCAGGAAGCAAGGTTTTGATTTGAGATCCCAGGAAAACAGGAGGCCACTCTCTTGGGAGTGGCATCCTTTACTCACCTGTAGTGTACATGAATTATAGAATTTTTTACATGCATCCCTCACTGTAATTAAAACTGCAATAAAGGACACATCAGTCCTTGATCAGAACAAACTCCCCCCTTCCTGCCAGAGAGGATGGGAGCAGTGGGGCAGTGCTTTCCACAGGTGGAACAGAACACTCAGCTGCCAGGCATCTGGTTATATTTGCTCCTAATTCAGAAATACATCTAAATGCATCTAACAGGACTGTGCCACAAGAAGTTAATGAGGAACAGGCATTAATTATTCATGCCCTGAAACAGTAGGTCTCCTAATGTTTTTGCTAATCAACAAGTGAAACATCTGTATCTTCTCAGGGCAGTCTTGGGGGGACAGAAGGACAGCGCTGACACGCTGGGCTGCCCCAGTCTCACCCTCTGGCTCAGGGAGGGTATTTGTTCCCAGCCCAGCAAAGGTGCCTCGAGCGTGGGAGCAGGAGCAGTGCTGGCCCTGCAGTGCCCCGGAGCAGCAGCTCTGCATCCTGACACGCTGCTGCTGCAGCCAGGGGCACGGGGCTGGCCGGGGAGCACGGACAGAGGGAAGGCTCAGTCCCATCCCACAGCAGGAGAGCTCAGGCTGTTTAGGCAGAGCCAGCTCCCTCTGGGTGCCGACAGCCGCAGCTGGGGGTGCTCCAGGAGCCCCCTCGCTCCTCTCGACCCGCAGGTAACCCAGAGCCACGAGAAGCAGATAAAGGGAAGAGGATGGAAGAGTTGTCTGACAGAGCCTTCACCACGAGAGAGCACCGGAGAGGATTGTGATGTTGAGTTGACTTCAAATAATTTTCACATGAATTACTAAAGAAATGTATAATTTATCGGTGCTTAAATAAATCACTGGCAGGAGTGCTTTCAGGCTGCCGGCGCAGGACGGGCTATAATTAACTCACATCACGGAGCTCGGGGCTGCTCCAGCAGCGCCCGGCACCGCCGGGGCTCGGCACGCCGGGGCACAGGAGGAATTCGGCTCCTAAAAACAAGGTGAGTGACAGCAGAGCAGTCAGAGCGCTGGGCTGGGGGCGATGCGGTGTCCCCGGGCTCCGGGGGTGTCCCTGGGCTGTCCCCGGGCTCCGGGACAGGGTTCGGGCTCCCCCGGAGCTGCCCCGGCAGTGCCCGGCCCGGGCTGAGCCCGGCTCCCGGCAAAAGTGACCCCGGTGGAGGCACAGGGACACTGCTGGGGACCCGCTCTAGTGACAGGGGCCCCTGCTCCCGTCCCTGCCCCTGCTGCTGCTCCTGTCCCTGCTCCTGCTGCTCCCGGGGCCCCTCTGGCCCGGGTCGCTGCCTCTGCCCGGCTGGAGGCACCCAGTGGTGACAGCTCCTGTCATGGGCTCTGCTTGGGCTGAAGACTCTTGATCAGGTAAAACGTGTTTTTGAACTTCAAATCCAAGAGATGTTTCTGACAAAAAAAAAAAAGTGTTTTCCAGATGCTGTGAAAAAGTAGTGAAGAACCCTGGATATTTTTGTGGGAAAAGGGGGAAGCTCCAGGTGGAGGAGGCACCTGGCAGCATGGCACAAGGCCTTACCCACCCTGTCAGCCCTGCACCCTGCAGGGCTCAGCCTACCTGAGACCACCACACAGCCCCTGCAAACTGTCTGTGGAATGATCCTGGCGAGAAAGAAAGTGCTCTAGTTTATGAATTTGGGTTTTGATCATCACAGTTGTAAGTCTGTCACAGAATAAAGCAGTGGAAGCATATGAGAACCTCCAGAGAAACATCAGACAAACTCATTTTTCCCTTTTGAAAGCCCCTTGTATCAGTGATCTCACCAGTAAAGGCATGTTACACAACCTGCTCCAGAGGACAGAACTGGGTCCCCCGTTTCCAGACAAGTTAAAATTAGATTGTCACCTTTGGGAACCCTCCCCAGAAGTTAGTGCTGAATTCCTTACAGCCTCCACTGCAGACAACAAAGAGATTCTTGGCCTGACAATGACACCAACAATTTACCTTCATGTGACTGTTCCCTTCAAATACTTCCTGCTGGCATTTGTCTCCTTCCAAGGGCTCCTGGCAGGACTGGCCAGGGCTGGGGGAAGAGCTGTCCCACCCTGCTGAACGCTGCTGCTGTGCTCAGGGAACTCTCAGAGCACATTTGGAATGGCTAGGGGAAAAAATACATTCAAAGCCACACACACAAATGCTGCTCCCCTTCCAATTCCTTGTACACCCTTTTTCCACCAAAATGAATTTTAATCGTGTAGGAAGCAGCATTGCTTTGGCCACCAAACCTTTCCTGCTCCACGCCAGGATCTGCCTCCTGAAGGAGCTTGCTGCTTGCTGCAAACGGGGCTGGCTGTGGACAGGGAAGGGCCTGGGGCAGACTCCAGAGTTTAACTCTTGGCACTGAGATGTCTCAAGGCACAGGTTGCTCATGGAGAGCCTCTTCAGCAGCACAAAGAGAAACACAGGTTTTACATCAGCCTGCAGCACCTGGGCACAGCAGGCACAGGGAGGGGCTGCAGGAGGGAACAACAGGAGCTGGTGAAAGGGCCAAAGACCAAAAATAAAGTTAATAATAGAACATATTAGTTTTCACCCCAGTCTACAAAGGAGCCAGAACTGGCAGGTGTGTCCTGCCAGGATTTGTGTCCAACAGCCCAGAACACTGCAAACCTGTAAGAGAGGGAACCAGCCCAGACTGCACAGCTTCCTCAGCTTCTGTTAAACTCTGAGCCCCCCACGAGTGCCACACAGCCTTTACTGACTCCCTCCACCCCTCTCCTCCCACACCCATTTACCTGTCTGAACACCTTGGAAGATTTCTCTCTCGGCCCTGACCTAAACCAGACCTGCACACACATCACACACATAAATCCCCCTTCACACACCCACTTCTCTTTTTCTGGATGTTGTAATTTCTTGAATGGTTCTCCTTCCAATTTATTTCAGTTAGAATTTTGTCTTTTCTAAATCTTGAACCATTCCATACTATAACTTTATTGCAAAAAAGTCAACATGCATCTTAGAAATTTGGCTTGTAATCAATAAAACAAACATTACATATATGAATTTTAATGTGTAAACAATTAGAAATTCAACAATATCTGCTATTATCCTATTACACAAGTTCACAATCTGTAAAAACTATAGTACAAGGTTACTATACACCAAGAGGAGCTTTGTTCCTTTTCACATGATTTTGCTAAAGTGGTGTTTTCCTAAGCAGGCGCCTGGTTTCAGATTTGAGGTGGTTTTGTCTATTTTGCTCAGGTTAATTCAGCACAGAAAGGGAGGGAATGGTGTGCAGTGACTTCCTTTCCCCATGCCCCCACCCTGCAGTGGCTGGCACACGTGGCTGGCACACACAGGACCCCCCAGGGCTGCTTTGCCCCAGCTGCAGGTGCATTTCCCAGAAAAGCATCCCCACGAAATGAACTTGGCTGCACTGCCCTGCTGCCTCTGGAAGCACAGAAACCCAAGCCAAGCCACCCCGAGACAGGCCCTAAAACACAGAGGTGTTCAGAGGCTTTGGCAAAAGGCAGCCCAGCTCCAGCAGCTCCTCTCCTCCTCCTCCAGCCCCTCTGCCCGGGCACTGCCAGCCCGGGGGCACTGCCAGCCCTGGGGTGGCACCTGGCACTCAGGCCAGCCTTGCTGGGGCACTGGAGGGCAAACTGCAGCTGGGGACAGCTCTGAGACGGCCCTCGCTGCCTCACCTGACACAGGTGCCACCCCAGGGTCACTTTGGAGCTAAAACCATATGAAAAGGAATCCATTCTGTGTGTGTCGAAGGCTACCGCAGTTTTTCTTACAGCTTAATTAATCCACTGTAATTTCATTTTCCAAATACAAAAATACGACAATTCTTATTGAAATCTATACGCCGGTAATTTTAGTACACAAAAAAGCAAAATATTTACAAAATTATACAGTTTAAGAAAAAACTCTGTACAAAAAAATATATAAATCCTTTTGATCCCTCTCTCCTTTTTTAAGTTGTCAGGACTCGGACATGTTTGCTGCAATGGACTTCTCAAGATACACACTGTGCCACAGACATTAAAACCCCTAGAGGTGGTGGGAGAAGAGCAAGACATTCTTGTAAGTTCATGGGGTGGGTTTCTCCTCCATTTCTTCATGCCTGGAGTTCAGTTTCAGCATTAGCAGGACAGTCCTAATTCTAGGAAAAGGAGAGGTTTGGAGAGAGACAGAATACTGGAGACATTCCCTTCAGCTGACAAGAAACAGGACATTACACAGGATGGAAACCTCAGCACAGCACAAGGACAGTCAGCAGGGCTGTGACCCCAAAGGGTGCTCAGCACCTGCCCTGCTCAGGCAGGGAAAGGGTTTGGTGGATGCTGCCCTTGAGTCAGGAGGTGCTGGGGCCTACACTGGCAGCCATGCAGGAGAGAAGAGCACTGTGCATGGCCATGGTGCTGCTTTTGTGTAGAAATGCACAAAAAGCGTGTTGGGGAGGGGCCAGGGCCAGTGGGCAGTCAGGGAGGTGCTGCTGGGTGCCCCAGGCACAAGGCACAGAGCCCAGCCCAGCCCTGCTCAGCACAGGGACAGCAGAGCATGGCCATGGGACACAGGGCACCCAGGGCACCCCAGCCACACTGGAGCCTGTCTGGGGCCAGGACACCCCAGTCCTGGGTGAACCCACCCTGCTCTGAGCCCCAGGGCTTGCCTGGACACAGCTGGGAACAGCCAGAGCAGGGCAGCTCTTTGAGGAAGACTGGAACTCCTTCCATGCTGCTCACAAATACTGAAATGCAATAAACAGCCTGACCTACACTGAGCCTTACACTGAAATGACAGAAGGAAATCAAGGAGTGGAAATGCACTCCAGTGTGTGCTCCTGCTGATGTTTTCTGTGAAGCAGAATCTGGGGAAACAGAGTGAACTGGACAATGTTATAACAATACCCTGTTAAATTGTTTCTTCCACCTCCTCACAAAAAGCAGCACAACACAGAGATAGTGTGGCTGTCACACATACTGAAGTAAATGATTTAAGAATCTAGCCACAAGTAATTCCTAAAACATGAGACTCCACAGGAAATAAAATGCTCCCTTTTTTCAACGAGCAAATGAGGCCAGTTTTTCTTTCATAATATTTAATGAAAGTTTGTCTTTCCCCTAACCTCGTAATATTGCTAAATAAAACCTGTAATATCTTTTCAATTATAAACTAACAAACCAATCACATTATAAAAAACCCAAAACAAGGTAATACAGGTGACACAAAAGAGGACAAGAAAATACTGATTTCCAACCCCCTCCCCGCTTTTTATCCTTCTTAAATAGAAAAAAATCACCACCCTGGTGAGCTTGATAATCCTGTAAGAAGTTCCTGGGCCCTTGGCTAGCTCAGTCTCACAGCTCTGTGTCCCAAATGTTTTCATACCAAACTGCTCATGGTAAATTTTGTGGTTTGAAAAGAAAGTAAAGCTCTTTTTGGCTCATCAACTTCCTTAAATAAACGTTTAAAAGATGTAGTTTGAACTATATTCCTAAAATTATACATTTCAAACATCAAGTTTCATCTTCTCCAAGAACGGGATTCATCCTCATCTTCATCATCATCATCATCATCTTCGTGCAAAAATAAATCTGAGGTTTCAGTCTCCTGGAGGAAGAAAAAACGAACTTTCAGACACAAGTTCCAAGCTATGCCCAGGGACACATCCCAGCTCACTGCACCAGCTGTGCTGGTGTCTGGCTGTCTCTCTCAAACTCACATAGTTACAATTCAATTTCAGGGGAAGAACAGCAGCCTCAGGCCAGGAAAGAGAGCAAAGCTTCAGAGGAAGCAGGAACAAACCACCACTCACCCTCTCCCAAACAAGGTTTCTGTTAAATGCTACAACAAAATAACCTTTAAAAGCCCAAGGTGTTAAGGTGAATTACAGGGAACAACACACAACTCCTAGAGTAGAGCACAGAGTGAGAAGTAAAAGGCTTTGCAGCCTGCACATACAGAACCCGAGGCTTGTTTACATCATTGGCAAATTAACAGCCCATCCACAAAGTGTCTTTTTTTCCCCCATTTTCTCTGTTTTGAAAGGTGGGAAATGTACCTGACTTCAAAACCAGTTCAGTTCCTGGTTTGTAAAAACATCTTTTATGACATTTCTTCAGCACACAGGAAACTGTATCCTAAGAGCTCTCAGCTGTTAGAGTCCAGTAAGAGTGATCAGGTTATTAAGAGATTTCCATACCTCTTCCTTGGGCTCCTCTTCCTCGACTTCAGTGGACACAGAGGGTACCTTGGGCTTGTGCCACGAGATCTGGAGCCGCCGGTCCTTGAAGCGCGAGCCCTGGTTAGCAGCCTGGGTCGAGGGCACACATTCAGAGAGAGGACCAAGCAAAGAACTACTAACATCAGCAACAAGCCAGAGCACGTGGTACAGGGGCATGTTTGAAGACCTCAAATACATAAACCATGACCACCCACTTCAGTGCTCCAAGAGCAACTTCAGCCACACCCAAATGTGCCCAATCCTGCTCCTGCCCCGGCACTGAGAGAGGAGGAGCAGAGCTCTGACCTGCCAGGGACATGCAGCTTTAGCAGGGAAAGCCCTGTGCCACTGCTCAGACCACCAGGAGCTACTTCCCCTTCAGGGGCACTACCTGCAGCAGCACCAGGCACTATCAAGCTCTAACTGGGGGATCAAAGCCTTTGACATTTTAAAATACAAAGACAGACACAAATAGTTAAACACTCTTATTTTAGATATGTGAAAAAATATATCCACGATTCTACTTACATTTTCAGCTTCTGAGCGGGACTTAAAAGTTACAACAACACTTAATGGGGAATCCTCTTCTTGAAGATCTTCAATATCTCCAAATTTCTGTGAGGAAAAGATCATTATGACTGGCAGTAATGTTCTCCTCCACTTCCATAATTGTGGTACAACTGTAGTGTACTGAAGTGACAGTGAAATCTGACTTTTTGGGCAGGAAAGTGAGAGCCAGAGGACTCCCAGCTGCATCAGCCATCACTATTGTAGCACTCGTATTTTTGGGCAAAAGCTCAGATTTATTGCTACTCTAAGACGAGCTTGATTTCACAGCAGTAAAGGCAAGGTGTATTAATTTCCAGGCAGACTTACAGAGAAGTGCTGTAGCAGTTCATCCTTCTCCTCCTCGACGAAGCCTCCCACGGTGAGCGCCTTGGGCCGGTGATCCACCACCATGTGGTTGAGCATGGCCCGGCCCCTGCCGCCCCGGCCCCGGCCCCGGCCCCGCCCCGGGGCTGCCGCTGCCTTCCCTCGGCCGGCGGGGAGGATGCCCAGGCGGGCAGCCTGGGGAGAGAGCACAGCCCCGTCAGAGGGGTGACCCCCGCAGCCCACCCAGAGTGCCTGACTCCTGCAGCCCAGGAGAGGGGTGACCCCTGCAGCCCAGAGTGCCTGACTCCTGCAGCCCGGGAGAGGGGTGACCCCTGCAGCCCACCCAGAGTGCCTGACTCCTGCAGCCCAGGAGAGGGGTGACCCCTGCAGCCCAGAGTGCCGGACCCCTGCAGCCCGGGAGAGGGGTGACCCCTGCAGCCCGGGAGTCACACACGCACCAACAGCAGCAGTCAGCCCAGCTCACCTCCACCTGTAACTGGTTCAGCTTTTTCCGCAGCTCGGTCGTGTCCTCTCCAGAGGACAGTCTCTTATGGAAGTCCAGCTCTGCATCCAGCAGCTCCTTCTGTGCCTGGCAGAAAAAGAGGTGGGAGGAGAAAACAGAAGCAAAGGGCAGAATGGTAAGGACAGTAGTAGTGTTTTATTCCACTTCAGCAGTACATTCATGCAAATGATACAGAACAATCAGGACACAATAGCCATACTTTAAATTCAGTTTTGTTTTAATTTCCTCTGTGTGGGTGTGGTCCCCCCCATTTTTGAAGGACCCACAATTCTCTACTTTAGAACTGGAACAAACATGAATGAGCTACAAGCAAAACTAGGTCATGGAGCTCCTCCAACCATGGCTTGTTTGTCCATGGTTATCACTCACATTAAAATGTTGCTTGCAAGTGATTTGATCTGATGCTGTTGCATTTTTAAGACACATTAATAGAAATAGTTACAAAAACCAAGCAGGCAAGTGTGTTGCACAATAAATACCTCTGTCTTGGACTTCAATTTGGATGGTGTGGAGGTTGTAGATGAAGTTTTTAATTCGTCCTTTAACTGAGATATTTTTCCTGTTAGCTCTTTTAAAGTCTTCATAATTTCTGCTCTCTCTTCTGGTTTCATGGCCTTGTTTTTCTCCAGCTTGGATATCAACATCTATACAATAATAAAAGAACAGGAACATAAAAATCCAGGAAAAACAGCCTTCAACAGACAGGTATGTACAAAATCAGAATGTATTTACTAGCTACATCCCAGACTTACCTTCTGGCATTCTATTTGTTTTTCTAACATCTCCTGCTTCTTTTTCCTCATATCTTGCTGGAGTTTCATTGCCTCCTATAAGAGGAGAAAATTCTTTCCATCAGTAAAAAGCAGTCTAGCATTGCAGGTACTCATACAGATCATATTGTCCTCTTCAAGCTATGGAAGTTAAACCCACAACCAAAAGTACTGTCTGCAAAAAGCAGAAGTAAGAAGTGCAGCTGATTCAATAAATAAAAAATAAATAAAATCCTCATTTCCTACTGCAAGGTACTTTACTAACATTTTGCCCCTTTCAGACACCTCTTAGGAAACATACTGTGTGCACTGTCATGCAAGTGTCTCATACCTGTAGAGATTAAATCCAAGCAAACCCAGAAAACCCAACGTGGCCAAGTGTGTCAAGTAAGACACCCCAAAAGGACACTCCACATATGATTACCCCCAGGTGTGTTTGCAAGCTCTAGAGGGGTGGTTGAGGTTTCAGGTGCCCATCAAACCTTGCATTTAAAGCACCTTGTTCCTTACACTGCCAAGCAGCCATCAAGCATTAAGTACCTGCTTTTTTTTAAGGGCTTCTTGCACATCATGAGGTTTAGACCCTGCACCAGACTTCAGAGTTGTCTTCAAGTTTGGAGAACTGTAAACCATTTTAGAGTGGCTTGTAGAAGTAGGAAATACCTGAAATAGTAAAAAACACATAGTAAAATATGGAATATTTCAAAGTAACAGTGATATACCAGCAGGGAACTTCAGTAGATCATGTCTCCTGAAACCCCAACTCAGATGTCCAGATTTGTGCAAGGAGATAGAAAGACCAAGGCAATTAAACACTTGGATAAAGACATCAGTCCAGTTAAAAGGATCTCTGAAAAAGCGACTGTCTTTCCTGCTCCATGGCAGACTCCCTTTGCATCCTGATTCCCACCAGGACCCTGCTGAAGGTGATGATCTGCCTGTTGCTTAATTTCAGTTCTGCAGTCACAGCCCAAATCCCACTTTCTGATCAAGGCAGCAAAAGCCACTCCATGCTTCCTTTCTTAAAAGGACTTCCCCACAGCCCAGAACACATGCTGCACTATGGTATCAGTGTGAATTGAACACTTATCAGCTTGAACTCTGGGTACAAATACTCTCTAAGCTTCTAGCACTGCTGTTAAAGCACAGCAAAAGCTCAAAAATTACTGGGAGAGCCATTACATTTGTCAACAAAAGGCTGGTCTCACATACTGGTTGTCAGACTTGTTAACTATCAAGCACTGCTAAAATACTTTATGCTATTTACAACACTGATAGTGTTGCAGTTGATAGTTCCTGAAGTCATTGTCCCTATTCCATACAAACAGTTGATGAAACGAGGAAGAAGTGACTGACCATGGCTGCACAAAACATTACTGAAAAGGAACAGAACCAAGAGGAAACAATTCCCAAGTTCTCTTTGCTTGCTCCTCCCTGGCTGACAAGCTAAAGCTGTACCTCACAGCATGAGCATGGTCCACTCCCAACATACCTGAGACTCCTCCACCCCAGCCCCGGGCTGGCTGAGCTCAGGCTGGCTCCCACCCGCTGCTCCCAGGCGCCTCTTCACTGGGACTTTGTTAAGGACGTAGGCACCAGATGCCAGGGGCTTGTTCATCACCTGCGTACCCAGAGATTTGAAAACACCCAGGTTAGGTACTGCTGTGCCCCTCGGGAAGGCTGCTGAGCCCTGCACAGCACGTACCTTGGCCAGGCTGCTGTGCACGGTGACGGCGGGCGGCGCGGCCAGGGCCTGCTGCTGCAGGTGCTGCAGGGCCTGCGGGCTGGGCGCCTGCTGCTGCTGCTGCTGCAGCAATGCAGGCTGCTCGCTCTCCCTGTGCCACAGCACCCGGATAAAGCGATTGCTCAGCACTGCCTCCGTGCTGGAAATGGCCTTCCTCGCCTCGTCGTTGCTCAAGTACTGAATGAGGGCAGCTTCAGGATCGTTCTGGAAAGCCACCTGAAGCAAATGTGCACAAACGCTTTATTTCTCAAGGAGGAAAAAAATCATTAGCAAACCATCTACAAATAATGTGCAATGATGAGTTGAGTATCCAGTGTATTAACAGCTCTAAACACTGGTAAGACACTATGCAATTAAAGCAAAATAGCTTTTGGCAAAGCAAAGTCTATACACATTCAAATAAACAGATGAATGAATCTCCTCCACCAACAGCATCACATATTCAGAGAACTGTGCAGTGCCCCTGGGTATGTCTGGTACCACTGGTGTTGACCCAGAGGCTCTTTATTCCAGCCTCCTGAGGGACAAGTGCTGCCTGAGGGTGCACAGTGCAAAGCCTCACCACACCCTCAATGCAGCAGCATCTCAGAGTCTTGAATAAGCATTTTTTCCTCTGAAAAAATACATAGCAATAAAAATGTACCTTGTACTTTCTAGTGTAGTGATTGAGATGATATGTTTGAAATACATTATTTCATTAGAGAGGTACAGAAAGCACCACAGTATCTTTTGGGCTAAGAAAGTTATCAAGAAATACAGAGGCTTCCCAGGTATCTCTCTCTTATTTAAACCTCTAACTGAGGACTTGAGAGGCAACCGTTTTGTCTAGAAAAATAAACAAAAATTAAATGGTATTTTACCTAGTATTTTTAAGTGCTTTTTCTGTTTTTTACAAGGCAAGGGCACCCCTGAGTTGGAGCCAGTTCTAGGATGCCAAGTGGTAACAAACTGAAGCAGATAAAGACTGTCATATACGACAAACTGTCAGATCATCTCTTTGAAAAGTTAACACAAGTTGCTCAAAAACCTGAGTTGGTTTAGACACTGTTAAACCTGCCAGCCTTTCAAATGTAGTTAGTCATCATGAAGGCTGAAACCAATATGTTTTACAGTATTAAGATAACAATACACAGTAAAGCAAGAAAAGCTTTCTCTGACCTTGATTACCTCCTCTCCCAATCCGTCTCCACTAAGATTTCTCAAAGAAACTATGCAGTATTTAAGCAGGCTTCAGGGAAAATAAAATATCCACACACAGACATAAAACTGATTTTGGTCTTTTACCTGAATGTTTACAATAGTTCCAAATTTGCTGAAGTGTTCATTGAGCTGTGTAATATTGTTCAATTCTGGTGGAATTTTTCGAACTTCTAATTTTGTATTAGTATACTGATTCTTCTTCAAAAACCCTGGCTTATTCTGGCTGTTATTCACTTGCCTAGAGAAAAGGAGAATAGGAAGAGTTCAGATAAGTGCATAAATGCCTAACTAAGGCAGCAAATGTTAACATAGATCTAAATTGCATCTCTAGAAAGTACATCCTCCAGCCACTAACAAAACAGAGCTTCCCCCGACCCCATGTTTAGTCTCCACATTATGGGAACACAGACTTGCTGACCCAACCATCCCAAATTACAGCGACTGGTGAATAGCAATGTCCACAGCACTGACAGCAATCGAGTACATTTGAATTAACATCTGTAGCTAACTCTTACTTTCCCAGCCAGGGTTTCTTCAGTGGTGGACATTCCATGCTGCTTGGAGATCTCTTCCTGCTGTCGGGCTCCAGGACAACTCTAGTGACATTGCTGCTGTTATTTGTAATGGGAATGGGAGGTTCAGTTTGGATGATAATGTTGGCAGCTGGAGGGAAGGAAAAAGGCCTGTGTTATTCCACCACACATGGAAAAGCTTTCACAAAGCAAAACAGAACTGAGATTAAAAACATAAACATTAGGATGACTTTATCAAATCGGTCAGTTTTGTTTCTGAACAAAACCATTCAGATCATTCCCTAGCCCAACTAAACATCTTGAAAAGAGAAACACACATGGTCCAGCTGGGAGGGATGGGTTCTGACCTTTAAGGCTAGTACTAGCTTGAAGAAACAAAGCTAAAGCTTCATTCTTCAGGTACTAAAAACTCGGATTCCGCAGTAAAGGGAGAGAAAGAAAAAAGAAAACCCCAAATCCCAACAAAACAGAAAAGGAGGGAAAGAACCCATGGATGGATCCCCAGGCTTTAAGTTAGAGCCCTGCAATGGGCAGGGGCTGAATTAACAACCAGCTTGCCATGTATTGACCCTTGACAGACCAAAGGCAACCGAGAACCAACCCCTTCTTTCCACTGCTATCCCACTGCCAGCCCTCCAGCCAGGTTTCAGCAACAAACTGTTAACTAAGCGCCACTATTACACTCTTTTAAGACATTAGATTTAAAGTTTGAAGCAAATTCTACTAACACAAAGTTTGCTAGAAATTTATTTGCAACCTTTTCAAGATTATGCCCTTTGTGTTAGTCTCCTGTGAATGCCAAATATTCAACCCCTAAAAAGAAGTCTGAGTTACACATCAATTTCTATGGCTTTTGTATAAGCCAGGGCTCTGCTGGTTACACTGGTGAGAACAGAGACTGGGTATTTCTGGGCATGGGATCCTCATTTTGGAGGATGGTCTGAGAGCAAACCTTTCATACCTGTGATAAAGACAGTAAAACATGTCATGTGAGGCCCTACACTGAGCACTCACCCCTGCCTTACCTGGGATGGGCTCTCAATGAAGCCCCAACCCTGCCTCTATGATAGTCATTAAGATGCAAACAGCAACAGCAATTTCTACAATAATATTTAACCATAATCCTTATAAGATGAGTCACTGGAAGGAAATACTGGGGGAAAAAAAATAAATCTTTCTTATCTACTAAGTAAGAAATACTGAAGTAGAACAATAATACCCAAAACTTAACATTTTTGGTTTTAAGAATCAGGGCAGAAAAACATAGGGGAGAAAGAAAGTTTTGCTACTACAACTAAACTTTGAAGAGCCTTGACCTGTGCCCTTCCCTAAAAGATGCTTTGTGCAAATCACCACTAAGAGACAGCAGCCACATCTGTTCAGGCAGGGGCTAGGAATTATGTAAGTGCAGACTGGGATTCCCATTAGCTGGGAAACTGGAATGACACTGGTGATGTTCGTTTCAGAGAGAACACCTGGCTGACAGTCAGAGCATGAGGCACCAAAACATGCCATGGCAGCTCCCTTCTTCACTACCATCACAACAGCCAAGGCAAGGAGCTTGGATCATCACCTCTGTGCCCTCGGCTGATCAAAAGCAGTCTGCAGACTGTGCTGCTAAATCCATCTTTAGGCACTATTTTTCTTTCTAGGAGCTACCAGTACCTGGAAAAGACCTTCACAGGCTTAAGAGGAATAAAACCCCAACCAACCAACAAAACCCTTGTAGCATTCCCAAGCAAGTGGTTATTTTTAATCAAAAAGGCTGCTTTGACTTTAATATGGGCATGTTAGCACTTAAAAAAGGTAGAAATGTAAAAAAAAAAGCTCTGAAACACTAGATCAGTGAGAAAAACTGGTGCTTTCAGCCTGAAAAGAGGGAAAAGTGTTGACGGTCTTGGACAAAAATAGCAACAGCAATGACCAGAACCCTTCCTACCTCGAGGGTTTGTATCCATCTCCCCAGATGTTAGGCCAATTAGATTTGGACGCTGCATTTGTGCTCTCGTAAAGAACTGCCGATACTGAGATCTACCAGCACTGGTAATACTAGGAGCTTCAGGGTTATAGCCATCTGGCTCATATGTATCTACAAAAAAAGGAGAGAAACGACAGAATTTTTCAAGTGAGTTTAAGACTCGGGGTTAATTTTCCTTCAAGGAAGTGCATGGATGTCCAAGAGTCAGAAGCTCTCTTGGGTGAAGAGAAGAGAGGTGGTACAGCCAACCTGTGCAGCCACTGCAAACCCTCACCTGAATTCCAGGCCTAGCCTATCTGGACACATTCTCCTTTGGTTCTTGTTCTGGTACTGTTTGTCCAAAGCACACAGGTCACAATACAGAGTAGTGCTGATCCACTGCCTGGGAAGGCCTGAGGTGTCTCTGTGACAGCGTGCACAACGCCTGGCAGTGTTTTAAGGGCAACACAGGTTTTGGTTTCAGCATTTATACTGTAGAGTCTAAGATGCAAAGAGATTTTCAGCCTTTGCTGCCCAACAGTCTGGGTCTCTTCAGACAAGAATTTTAGGTGAAGAACATACTTAAATGATTTCAATCAAAGAAAGCTGAGAAATGAGGTAATGGAACCAATACTTACCTACTGAACTCTCTTTATGTAAGAGTGAGATCAGCTGCCTAGCTTAGGTAATGCACTAATGATTATTTCCATTAGAAGTGGTCACCACAAGAATACAAGATGACAATTGACTCCTATTGTTCCTCCAGCCCAAGGTCCAAATTGAGGATAACACATTTTTTTAACCTTAAAAAGGAGAAGCTGCACAAGAACTAGAATGAATGAAGTCTGTGAAGAGCCTCCACAGGAGCAGAACAAATGCCTGTACAAGGGAACCTGACAAACATGAACGCCTCCAAAATCTCAGCTCCTTATTCTGCAGCAACAAAGACAACTCTACAGTTAAAATCAGATGCCCCCCAACATCCACACTGATAGCAGGGCCTGACACTGTAAAACAAGAACTTTCTCTAACCTCAAAGGAGCAGAACCACCAGCTCCTCTTCCCTTATTTAGAACATGATTGACTGCAAGAGGGCAACCAGCAGCTGTTACCACAACAGCCCAAGAACAGGACATGAGACCCTCCACAGAGGCTCTGGAGAACAGAATTACTGTGGAGCCCTGTGAGCTCCAACAGGCAGAATCACCCATTAGAAGTTCTGGAGCTGAAAGGATCAGATGGTGACACCTGAACACCCAACAGGACTTGGGGATAACTGAACAGATTATCTAATAAGAAATTTGATGTCTCAAGTTCTGAAAAGCATGGAAGTTACAAATAAAATGACATGGATCATGAACTGAACTAGATCCCCTCTTTGAATAAAATTCAGAATATTTACGTTAAAAAACCCAGATGAGAATATTATAAAACACTGACATTTAATTATCTTATTTTGGTGATAGAGAACATAGGAATGCCATTAATGCTTTAATTATAAAAGAAATAAATTTTGCTGTATTTAAATTGAGCAATCTAGGACTTTCCAGGTATTTTGCTATATTTTTCCCTCGTAAAAACATACTTTTGAAATTTCTGAGATCTGTTAAGGAAAAGAGATGTGTCCAGTGAAAGCTAACAACCTTTAGAAAGCTAGAATCAGTATGATTCTGGAAAAAGAAGCTCTCATCTGTATTAGTCCAAACTGGAGAGGAATAAAACCCAAGTTCAACAGCAATTACAGGTTTGCAGATCCATCTTTCACCTACTAATGTCCTACTGAATCCTACTGAAGAGGAAAGGAACATTTCTTACACAACAATGGGATTGCTGCGAGCACATGAAACCCAGAGCTCCCCACAGTGCTCCTCCTCAGACCAGGGCAGAGCACTGCTGCCACTCCATCCAGAACGGATGAAGGGCTGACCCAGGGAGAGCCATCAGACTTCTTTTTAGATTTGTATATATTGGAGGAAGACAGATCATAATTCCTAATCACACACCAACAGAGGAAATGTAAAGTGTTTCCATCAAACAGATTTAAACCAAAAGGCATTTGCTTACGTTCTGACACTGTATAGAGCAGGTTCTGAGGCAGAGGAGGAGGCAGCCTTGCTCCCACGGGTGCAAGGCTGGGCACTGCGCTTGTCCCCGGCTGGTCACGACTGTTGATCAAGCTGGACTGTGTTAAAGGTGGCCCTGCAACAACACCACCACAGAACACATCACACACTGACAGCCCAAAGGCAGAACGTGCAAACAATTCAGTGCTGTGTTTATGCCTTGCTTTGAGCAAGGTCAGGGTTGTAAGTATGCCCAATCCCACCACAGTAACAGTAAACTGAGAAGCCTCTTCAGGTAAGCTACTCTGAGTCCAACACATTTTCTCTTTCTCAGGAGAGACAAAGCTTTAAGGGAAAAGAAAAGTGTCTTTTCTTCCCCAGTGGTTTGTTAGTGCCTTAACCATAGCAGCTCCTCCCTCAGCTCTACCATGGAGAGCCAAAGCTTGCTCAGAGATCACCTCAGCAGCATTCAGACTGCAGTTCTGAAACAAGAACTGCAGGGCAAGAAGCATCCCCAGACAAGGAATTTCTCTAGCTGGTTGTGCTTTGGTTTCCACATGTTCCATATAGACATTCCTACTGACTGTAGGATCCAAAAGGACCCCAAGTGACACTACACAGCCCATCGTGTGTCTGTTCTCCCACAGCAAGTCACTTCCACCTGCTGAAGGGCTCATGCAAAGTTTAGGGTTCATCCTGGATCAAATTGTTCCTCATCTCAAAACTGCTGATACTGGACACAATTATCACAGCATCTATTTTGTCCCTGGAATAGACAGCACTGAAACAGAGTAAGCATGCCCCTAATATGCTATTTCTTCATAGACTTTATAAGATGCAGTAGGATAACACAAAAAGGTTCAACATCTCAGACCACTGCTGAGCTAAGAAATCTCTTAAGCATGTCAATAATATATTGCTTTCCAGTATGCAGATAATGTAGCACCAACACTAGATCTTTATTAGAACCTCTAAGAGACTGCATCACAACACTTCTTGCATTACAGCAGGGAAAACCTTGCCAGTAAGTGTCAGTGGCCAATCCAATCACCACCAACTGACACTGAGGTGAGCTGAAAGTCCCCCAGCTCCACTGCCCTGCCCAATTTAATTCAGTTTGCAGTGCTTGGAACATCACAGTTTACCAGCTGAATATTCAGAATTCTTTGGGCATTGCTCTGAAGAGCACCCTGCAGCAGAGGAGCTGCAGCTTTGGGCATTGCTCTGAAGAGCACCCAGCAGCAGAGGAGCTGCAGCTTCGGGCAGTGCTGTGAGCAGCGCCCTGCAGCAGAGGAGCTGCAGCTCTGGGCAGTGCTGTGAGCAGCGCCCTGCGGCAGAGGAGCTGCAGCTCTGGGCAGTGCTGCGAGCGGCGCCCTGCAGCAGAGGAGCTGCAGCTTCGGGCAGTGCTGCGAGCAGCGCCCTGCAGCAGAGGAGCTGCAGCTTTGGGCAGTGCTATGAGCAGTGCCCTGCAGCAGAGGAGCTGCAGCTCTGGGCAGTGCTACGAGCAGTACCCTGCAGCAGAGGAGCTGCAGCTCAGGGCAGTGCTGCGAGCAGCGGGCCCAGCGGCACTCACGCGGCACGGGCAGCACCACGGGCGGCGGGGGCTGCGGGTGCGGCTGCGGCACCGGCAGGCGCAGCCAGCCCCGGCGGCGGCGGCGGGAACGGGATCATGCTGGGCAAGGAGACTTCATCCACCACTAAGGGGTCGTTTCCGTGGTCGAACTGGCAGAGATCGCCAAGGACACAATAGCCTCGCTCTGCAAAACACGACATTTCACCTCGCGTTAGAAAGCACACGCAGTAGTTCTCAGTGATTTGTAACACTTTGTTTTCATGGAATTTCTCACTAAAGAAAACATGCATCCACTGCTACGTTACTATATTGTAAGGTAAAGTTTCACAAAATAATTAAAATTAGAACAATCTTTCATAAAAGCATACAAACTTACATGTATTCATCATAAAAGCTGTGGAAAAAAAGTCAGAAGTACTGCGGTTTATTTTAAACATCCACTGCAATCTGCACCAGGACTGCCAGTGGTTGAGGTATTTGTCTAGCACATAGAGAACTGTGAAAAAACTCCATATGTTCTTATCCAGCAATTGCCACAGCATACGCAAACTGCTTGCAGTGAGACTAGTTATTTATCCAGTACAATAAAGGGCACCTCTGCATCTGTTACATACAAGTACACATCACATTGCTGCTCAGATTTAGTGAATATCTTAAAAAAAAAGTAACAGAAACATTGAAATAAGGCATGAAACTGAAAACTAAGGAACAGTTACCATCATAATCTTGACATCTTCTTTTAGGAGGAGGGTTTCTGCCAAATGAACTGGGATTGCTGTGATTGTTGAAGTAGTTTGACCAGCTCTCTGTGGTGCCTTCAAGGTGGTGTGCAGGTGCAACTACAGTTACAGCACTGGGAATAGCTTGTGCAGAGGAATACTGCTCAGAGGATTTACTGGGAGATGCGGACACCGGATTATATGAGCTTTCGACATCATTTTTTTCACTCTTGTATTTTGACCTCTCTCTCTCTCGGTGCTCTGTTTAAAAAAAATAAAGCTGAGTAAAGCCTTCATGTTTTGCTCTGTACATCAGAGCCGTGAGCAAGAGATAACAACACATTCTCTGAAATACTCAGTGTTCTGCACATTGAGCTGTTCTTGAAGGAGCTCGGTCTTACCAATGGAGTAATAACTAAATATAATGTAAATAAGGGTTTACCTTCAGAAACATCCAAGTTTTCTTTGCAAAATGCACATTCATTCCTCTACTACTTATTTCACTCTGGCTTACAGCTCTCTTTTAAAGGTGAAAGAAGGGCAAAAGCCTGAAACAACAAACCTACCTCTGCCCTTAACTAACGCGGTCTCAAGGTGCGTGGAATGCTGTAATCTGTGCCACCTACTTTTCCGACAGACCTGAACTAGCCCTAAAAGAACAATCATATGGTAACTACCTGCAACTGCAAAGAAACCTTCTCTAAAAATACACAGTAACAAAACGAAAGAGGCAAACACTGCTTTGCAAAATGTTCAGTCCTTAAGAGGAAAAAAGGATAAAATCAACAGCCTTGTCAGAACACACAGCACAAAAATATGAGCTACTGCTATCCACAGGAATACACCTGTGGATAAATTAAGAGGTTAGCAAATAAGAAAACAAACCCCTTAATTGTTCTACTCTGAAGAACAGCATCCTAACTAATAATTTCAAGAACACAAAGCTATCAGAATTTGCTCCAACTTCTCAAGAGCATCTCCTGCCTGCTAATCACCCGGGATGCAGAAGTGACACTGTCACTGCAATAGGAGGCTCTCCTGCAGCAGCACCCTGGCACTCACCGCTCCTGCTGCCGTCCCGGTCCTTGCTGCGGCCCCGGCTGCGGCTGCGGCTCCGGCTCAGCCCTCTGCTTTTGCTGCGGCTCTTACTCCTGCCCCGGCGCCAGCCAGACTTCTCCCTGTACAAGTCACTCCTATCATAGTACCTGTCATAGTCCCTCCACTTCCCATCATCCCGCTTTTTCTCTCTGGACCTAGGAAACACAGACGTAGACCATGTCAGTGAAAAGAGAAACAAAATTAAAAAAGAAGCTTACAACATGGAAAGATACTGTTCACCCTTCCCATCCACCTGGGCAGTGAAACACTTAAGTCAGAATTTCACAAATTACACAGGGAAGTACAGAATCTTAAAGCTGATTCTCCAGTCTGTAGAAAGCAGGAGTAGGAACTGGCAAGGTGAGACAGTTATGATGCTCAAACCAGAACAGGCTTTAGAAGCGATGCTGACACAGTGTGAACAACTGCCCCCAGAAACTACAGACCCCAAAAATGTTCTTCATTTACATAACAAGGGAAACAATGGAACTGATGACATTCCTAGGAATTGTAATTTGAAGAATATTCGGCCTCTTTTGCAAGAGGCCAACTTCTTGTGGAGGTTTCTCATGCATGTGATCAGCATACGCACAATGTATCACAGTCAAAGGAAGGAGAAAAATCTCTATTTTTCACAAAAATCACTACCTACAAGGTAAAAAAACACAGTCAAAGGCTGACAGCAAATACAGAAAAACTTCTTAACATTGTGGCTCAAAGCTAACCTTTGCTCACTGGAATCTGTACGGCTCCTCTGGGGACTGGAATACTTCTTCTTCCTGCTCTCCCGCTCTTCTTCAACAGACTCTTGAAAATTCTGTTTAACACACAACTACCAAACAAGGACGAGTATCACTTTTTAAAATTAAAGAAAATTACACCAAAATGTAGTTCAAGTTACAGACAGCAATGCAAAGAAAACCATATTCAAGTATTACTTGCCCAGAGTACTGAAGCACTACAAGTAATCAAGCATTAGAGTCTGTTGAAGAGTTTTGGTCTCAAAACTTCCTTTTTTTTTCCTGCAGAAGAGATGCCCCTAAATAAAACCACTTTGATGTTTTGTTTCTAAACAGGATTCATGAAGGACAAGATCTCTCTTCATTTTACTTCCTTATTTAGCATAAGCAATTATATAAGTGAGGTATTTCCTGAACCTTTAAACACAAAGTCTGCAGTCACCTCTCCAGGCAGGGAAGTCACTAGCTGGCATTTTAAATAACTGCTTCAGGGCAAAAACCTGCTCCCATGGTGGAACTGGTCACATTTCTTGCTGGCCTCCACCACAGCAGGTTCAGAAGTCTGCCAGCTGTACCACTACTGCAAACCACTGACCCATTCTGTACTTCTGCTGCCATTTCACACTGCTCACAAGTTACTGTAAATTTTGGTGGAAAAAGCTTACATGCACTGATTTTTAAAATACTTTTTTTTTCCAATGGAAACCAAAAGGAAGGCTTCCTGCATCCTTCTAAAACAGGATTATCTGGGGAGAACTGGCAGAAATACTCAAGACTTGGCTTGACAGGGCTCTGGAGAGCTGCACCTGCAGTCCTGCTCCCAGCACAAGGTGTATCACATGGCACCTGGGGTCCCCTCCAGCCCTGGCCTCATTGTGATTCCACACAATGTGGATTCCACACAGTGTGGTTTATTTTGTGGCCTCCATGTGTAGGAATCACACCATACAGAGCTTCATGACACATCCTGAAGGCCTTGCTGATGTCAAAGTAACTAATTAATGTCCTGAATTCCGTAACGTTGTCCCATAAAGCTGTCCTAGATATCTTCTTTTGCTTTTTGCCACTCCCCTCCAGCCCCTCAAACCTTCTCCTCTGCCCCCACCAGAGCACTGGTAAAGTCAACTGAAGGTAGTTCTATGGGACTTGCTATAAACTATGACAGTACTTTGAGAACAGAGGGGAAACTCTCACAGTGAAAGTCTTGTTCAAATTATGAACTGCCATAAGCAAAGCTACTTCCATAAACTGTCATAACTCTGCATCACATCCTCAGGTAAAACAAGTCATCAGAGAAAAGGAAAAAGAAGTAAAAAGCAACTTTAATTTCTATCAGTTGATGAACCACAGTCAGGTAAATAAGGACCTGCATTTGCTTGGGCTGACCTGGGTTTGGCTGACTGAAAATTTCTGCAATTATTTGTCACCTTCTCTCAAAAATTTGATTGCTTTCAATTTTGCCAACAGAACTTAAAATCAAGGTATACCTGTTGGCATAAAAACCCTACCTACCTTTCCAAAGTAATTATTCCAATACAGAGGCTGACATATTTCAAGGATTTTCAGCATCACAGAAAACATTTCATGTAATTTTCATTCCTTACAGCATATACAAAATGGGAAATGTTTTGGAATGTTTTTGCTGCTTCCACCTCTCAAACCCTTCCAAGTAATCATCCACTGGAATTGCCAGAGCTGTGAATAGGATTTCTGAGTGCTTAATCAAACGTAGACTCTACAAAGGGATGTAAAATGTTCTTGTGTGAATAGTCACTGTTCTCTGGACACAGAGATTGTTAGTCACAATAGAGTACATTTTTCTGTCACATTTTGCCTCACAAATGTAGGAGAGCTAATTTGAAAATAAAAGGCAGGCAGAATAAATAACATTACCTCCTCCTTGACTTCTTCTTTCTCTTGCCCTGCAGGCTTTGTCTCTGCCTTTGTGGGCTCAGCAGAAGGAAGGTAACTCTTGGTGTACAAACTTTCAAAAAGTTTATCTACAAACCCTGAAGTTTCTGAGGATACAGAACACGAGAAAATACTGTTAAATATGCATTTAAGTGCATGCTTACATTTACCAGACAAGACCCTGAAAACAGTCAGCCAGGTGGGCTGCTGGCAGCCCCTCAGATTAATGAGCATTAGCTCCACTGAAGGAGCTGGAATTACATTTGTAGCACTTGAGGATGTTCATTTAGAGACAGAAATTCCTCAGGCATGTCACAGACAGCAACAGAGACTCTCCTGCTCTAAGAGGCAAGCATGATTGGTGCCTGTGACCAAGGAGCAAGTCCACAGCTCTCCACAAGTGCCATCAGCTACACTCAGCAGCCTCTCAAGGGCAATTTTTATGAGAGTAAATAATTTTCAACACCCTCACCAGCAGTTGAACATCACAAGAAATGCACAATAACCTTCCCAGTGAGTGTCAGACTTTCAGGTGTTTAAACCCTTGACTATGAAGCCAACTGCCACATGTGAAAGTCCCAGCAATCTGAAGGACTAACATGGACCAGGTTTTCAAAAGTTACCAAACACCTGTCAGAGAAGCTTCTGGCAACACGACTGACACTTTAAATTAAATTGCTTTTATTTAAGAACATTTCTTCCCACGCACTGTGAAAAGTCCAAGTTACCTGACTTCATCTTATGATTGTTATTTTTTTAATCACAGGATTCCTTCAAACTGTATGGAATATTCACAGCTACCAAGAAAGATTTAGAAGGCAGTAGTGGGGCACCAGCCTCCCTCCTCCCACCCAGCCAGCCGTGGCCAGCACACCTTTCTGCAGGAACACATCCAGCTGGTCAGCACAGAAAGCTTTCAGCTCCTTCTCGGGCTTGTCCTTCTTCACTAACGCCACGACATAGTTGGCCAAGGCTGAGGGGTCGGCGTCACATCTGGAGAGAGAGAGAGCTGTGCTTGGCTGCTGCTCAGGCACTGCAGAGCCCCAGCAGCTCCTGCAGCACCAGCACAGCTGCCCTGGGGCCAGCAAAGGGCTTTCTGCAACCACAGCCCAACATTGCAGCTGCCCTGGGACACCCCAGGCACACCTGACAAAGGCAGCCCTGCTCTGCTCCTCCTGGGCTCTGCTGAGGGAAAAGCTCCTTTCTTCTGGCCAGACAGAGCCCCTGCTGCTGAACCTGCACAGCTCCAATGGCCCGACAGGCACAGCAGGGCAGGCACTGCACAAGGATTAAACTGCCTTTAGAAATTAAAGCATCGTTATAAAGGAGTTCAGAAGATGTCACAGAGGTCCATTTTCCATACACACACAGGCAGTGGCTGCCCTGCTGTGCTGGGGGTTCCTCCTCGAGGACACTCCCATGCCATGTTTTACAGTAACCCTTTAAGGCTGGTAGAACACCTTGAGGGGAGCAATTACTGACCCAGGCTCTCCCCTTGTGCTCCCTCACCCGTGCCTGGTCCACAGAGACCAAACTCACCAACTGAGTGTGCAGTGATACTTCATCACTACTCTTTAAATTGGATATTGCTTTAGATCCCATTATTCAGCTGCTAGGAGCACCCCAGGTATGAAATAGAGCAACAGTATGACTAAATTACAGTTCCTTGTTTGGCCTCTCAGAGTGTGCAGATGCCAGCTATCAGGTGGAGGCAGAAACCTAAAATACTCAAAAGACTTCAAAAAAAATTAAATTAACATTTAAAGAGGTGATTGTGTATTTTCTGAGAACAGTAACTCTGGAAATTGAAAGAAAAAATTTGAAGTATGTGTACCTCAAAATAATTTCAAGTAAGAAAAAGATCCAAAAAACAAGCAAAAGGCAGAAAGCCAAGCAGAGGGCAACAGGTGAAAGAAATAAAAATCCTCAATGAGCAGCAATCAAGCAGCTCTACTCTCATATAGCCTCCAACAACATCCAACCTCCACTGAAAGCCAGGGTAAATGGAGCAATTAAGAACAAAGAAACCACAAATTGACAGATTTTACAATTCTTACACACACAGAGAAATAACCTGTATGTGATGCATTCACTGCGTGTGATGTACTGGGGCCTCACCCACTGACCCTAAATGTTCAATTTCAAACAGAGGAAGCCATCCCTCACTTCAGAACCATTCCCTTTCCTTTCCTTCCTCCATGTGTCAGCCCCCCAGGCACCCATCCCATCCCATCCCATCCCACAGTGCAGTACAGGGGCACACAAGGTGAGTGCCCTCCTCCGGGCAAGCCAATCTGTACTGGCACTCCAGTGCCACTCCAGTGCCACTCCAGTGCCAATACAGTGACACCAGCGTCAGGGCCCACTGGCCCATCCCTTGATCTTCTGCCTCACACTCCACAGTGCAGCTCAGATGCCCAAGGAGTGCTGGACACTGACTGGACTGGCAGGGAAAGTGCAGGAGCAGGAGTCGTGCTCCAGCCCAGAGACCTTCAGCAGGGTTTGACCAAACACCAGAGCAACCCTGATTGTAACAAGGGAAAAGAAAGCTGTGAAGAACTTCCAAAAGCCTAATCCTTAATGATGGCAAGTGAGCAGACCTAAGGCCTGTAAAAACCCTTCCCACAGGCAAGGGAGCCCCAAGCCTGGCCAGGCACTGACAGGCAGCTTCCCCCATGAGACCCCTGGCTGTGCCTGTGCCAGCAGCACCAGCTGTGCCCAGGCACTGCAGAGCTTGGGGCCAGCACACCTCCAGCACCCTCTGCAGCCAGTTACCAGAACCCACCAAATGCACACCCTGACCCGTGTCCACGCTGACTCCATCCCAGTCCCACTGCAAGCAGCAGCAGCAGGATGTAAATGCAGAGTCCCCACAGTTTCAACGCTGTTCCTGGTTTTGTCAGCTCCTGCAGCAGCCCCTGGCTCTGCTCCGAGATGACAGAGCTGGACTGAACTCGACAGCACAGCTGGGGCAGCAGTTGGGAGCACAGAGAATCACAGAGACTGGAAAAGCGCTCCCAGAGCACCAAATTCAATCTCTCCCCACGCTGTCCCCAGCCCAGAGCCCGAGTGCCACCTCCAGCCCTTCCTGGGACACTCCAGGGATGGGGATCCAACCCTCCCTGGGCAGTTCCAGTGCCTGAGCCCCCTTTCCATGGGGAAATTCCTGCTGTGCCCACCCTGAGCTGCCCTGGCCCAGCCTGAGGCCGTTCCCTCTGCTCCTGTCCCTGTTCCTGGAGCACAGCCCGACCCCCCGGCTGTCCCCTCCTGGCAGGAGCTGTGCAGAGCCACAAGGGCCCCTGAGCCTCCTTGGCTCCAGGCTGAACCCCCCAGCTGCTCCTCATCAGGCTTGTGCCCCAAACCCCGCTGCAGCTCCGCTGCACGCTGCAGCGCAGCGGGCCCCGGCGCTCCCCGGGCCCGGCTGTCCCGCACTCGGCCGCGCCGGGCCCGGCCCGCGGCAGGCCCGTAACGCCTGGGCCGGGCCCGGCCCGCGGGAAGCGCTGTCCGCCCGCCCGCCCGGGCCGCCCGGCCGCACTCACATGGGCTCCAGCAGCTTGGCCAGCCAGGACTTGAGCGCGTCTACGCTCTCGATGATCATGGTGGCCCCGCGCCGCCCGCCCGCAGCTACACCGCCGCCATGGCCGCGACCTGCCCGGCACCGCCCGCAGCGCAGCCTGCTGGGCATGGCCGGGGCGGGGCCGCGCGCCGCCACCAATCAGAAGGTGCCGCTCCGCGCTGCCAACCAATGGCAGCCGCCCAGAGCCCGAGCCGAGGGTCAGGGAGAACCAGCAAGTTCGGTAGAGCGAGCACATGAACCCTCGGCGACATCTTGGGGGGGGCGCTCTTAAAGGGACAGCGTGCCGGCGGGCACACCCCTCGGCCCGGCGCACCGGGCTCATTCCCCGCTCCCCGGCCGGGACGAGAGCCCGGAGCCATCGCTCCGCTCGCTCTCCCTGCCGTCCTCCTTCTGTCCCCTCCCTTCACCCTAAAAAGGGCCCGGTGCCCCCCCTCCCTGCCTTGGTACGGCCTGGGCGCCCCCGCCCGCTGGCGCCGTTGGCACGGCCCGTGCGGCCGGCGTCAGGCGCGGCAATATGGCGGTGAGTGCGGGAGCGGGGCCGGGCTCGTGCCGCCCCGCGGGGCCGCTCGCCCTCTCCTCAGGCTCGCTCTTCCGCGCCGCGGTCTCCGGGAACAGGGTCCCATAGCGGTGTGCGCGGGGCCTTAGCCCGGCGGCTGCGGCCCCTTGGGGTAAAGGTCTTAGGGAGTGTCTTGGTTTTGATGGGAAAAAACGAAATCCTCAACCTTTATGAGTGCAGAGTGCGTGTGTCTATAATGCGTGTGTCCTTTAACTATTCCTGTGTGTTATATGGTGAAAGAATAAGATCCTTTAGTACTTGGCATGTGTTATGTGATAAAAGAATGAGGGGAAGGGCTGCTGAGCACCGGTTTAGTTCAAATCGCTTGGAATGCTTTACCCATGAGCTCCTGAAGCGCAGCTAGAGCTGTCGCCTGCCCTCCTTCTGGCACAGGAGTGCTGTACGTCCAGAGGGGGATGCATCGCATGGGTTAGTGGGGAGTCTGGAATAAAACCAGAATTCTATAGGAGTTTTCACTTATAGTTTATATATCCTTCTACCTGCCCAGTTCAGACATGTCTGGCTCTTTACTGGCAGTGTGTGTGTGTCCTGGCTGCTGGGGAGCCTTTGCTGTGGGCTGTTGGTGCTTTGCTGCAGCTCTGAGCTCTGGTGTCAGAGGGCTGGCTCTCAGGACACAGGCTAGCAGAGCCCTTACCCGAGCAGATGAGGATGGGCTGGGGTGGGCTACAGCTCTGTCATTGCCCTGTTCAAACAGACTCCTCTTCCTTCCTCTGCTGAGCAGGAGCGCAAAGGAACAGCCAAAGTGGATTTCCTGAAGAAGATTGAAAGGGAGGTGCAGCAGAAGTGGGAGCATGATCGAGTGTTTGAGATCGATGCTGCAGGCAGGAGGGACCAGAGGAGGTATCGTTGTACTCAGTTTTTCACTGCTTGAAATGTCTTTTCATTCAAAATCTGCTGGGGAAGGCCACAGCACTCCTGCTTTGTTTCTGCCCCAGAGTAAACACTGGAAACTCCTTTATCCTGGGAGTGTGGAGTGCTTGGAAGCACAGGTCCTTTGGAACTGGTGGGATCCATGCTCTTCACAGGTGTGGGGGCTGGCTGGGGCAGCAGCATTCGTCCTGTGGGAAGGTCTCTGGCTGGAAGAGCAGTGACCTTGGCAGTGTGGGGTTAATACTTGTGTGTGGGAAAGTCAGACTGAGCCAAGGCAATAACTGAAGTGGTGTAACAGGTGTCAGGTTCTTGAATTGTAGATTTTGCAGGCAAACAAACGACTTGGCCTTTATTCCTGTGTGTTCATGGATTGGGGGAGTGTGTGAAGGAGTGAGACAAGGCGTGAAGTACAAAGGTAGAGGTAGAAATTCAGTGTCCTAAATGTAAATATTTCCTTAGCTGCTTTGAGAGCTCAGTTCCAGCAACTTAATACATCTTTGAAACACCCTGCAACAATATATCCCTGTGAAAGTAGTGATTGCTTGCAGTGTGCCCTTAAAATTTGAACTCACACAGTGGGAGATTAAACAAATTACTTTAAGCCTTTACTGTAATTAATTTGCAGAAGCATATTTTCTTAGCTGCTTTGAGAGCTCAGTTCCAACAACTTAATACATCTTTGAAACACCCTGCAACAATATATCCCTGTGAAAGTAGTGATTGCTTGTAGTGTGCCCCTAAAATCTGAACTCTCACGAGATTAAATAAATTACTTTAAGCCTTTGCTGTAATTAATTTACAGAAGTAAGATTAGAATTTGTTACTTTTGGGAGCATGCAATATCTCTTTCAGTGTTTCTGTGTGATGTCAGTCCTCTGTGGGTTTTTTCTTCTGTGTTTATTTTTCAGGATGATAAAGCCTGTTAGTGTATCAGCTCTTTAAAATGAAATACTCAAGTTACTGGCAAGGAAAATATTTTAACATTACTGTGGGCTGATAACAGCTGGACATTCCAGTTATGTGTTTTGCTCGTGTATTGTCTGATGGTCATTTACAAAGCTGATTATGTGTTTTAATTCTTTGGCTCTCTTCTCAGCAAAGGGAAGTACTTTGTTACCTTTCCTTACCCTTACATGAATGGCCGCCTGCACCTGGGACACACATTTTCCTTGTCTAAATGTGAGGTAAAAATTCTCCTTTGCTGATACTTTACATACTACTGTAGAACAAATGCTGATTTTGTAGTTCAGTTTTGAGCTAATAGGATGCCATGTCAATTCCTTTATAGCTTTAATAATGACTTATTAAACTTTGCTTTTTTCCCACACTTTGCTGATACTTTACATACTACTGTAGAACAAATGCTGATTTTGTAGTTCAGTTTTGGGCTAATAGGATGCCATTATATTATATTGACATAGGATGTAATTTCCTTTATAGCTTTAGTAATGACTTATTAAACTTTCCTTTTCCCCCCTTTTTTCAGTAGGAATATTGCTAGCTGAAGGGAAATTCCATTAATGTAATTTTTAATTTGATGAGATGAGGCTGCAGGTGTTTCCCCTGTTTGTTCTTTGAAATGAGATATTTAGGAGATGCTGCTAAATGGCTCAAACTTCACAAGAGCCCTGTCCCTTTGGTTAGGTGGCTGTGCTCTGTGACCTGTGTGGGAGCAGGTTTGGGTGCAGCCACAGGGGCAGGCTGGGACCAAACTGGGCTTCACCTTCCTGCCAGGGCTGCCCCAGCTCTGTCACCTGCCAGTGGCTGTGCTAGAGGAGGAGTCTGGGCTGTGTTTGAGCAGGTGCTGGCTCAGCCAGGGCTGTTCCCATTTCAGCTGCTCCATTTCCCTGTCTGCAGTTCGCAGTTGGGTACCAGAGGCTGAAGGGGAGGAGCTGCCTGTTTCCCTTTGGGCTGCACTGCACGGGGATGCCCATCAAGGTGAGAGTTTGGCATTTGCTGGGGGGTTGTTTCTGATGGGGTTTTTATCCCTAAGGCTGCTTGGAGAGCCTTGCTTGCTGTCCATCTCCAACATCATCGTAATTTATTTCAAAACTCACCAGGACAGTGTGATTTGGAACCTGAATTTGTAGTAAACATGTGTTGTGCTTGAGCTATACCATCACTTTAAAAGACAAAGTGCTGGAAAACTGAATTTTACCTGTTGTATGTTTTCCTTTACAAGAAAATCCTTGTGGTAAATCTCTTCCTACCCTGGAAGGTGTTCTGGAAATGGCAGGATCTCCTAGATCTTAATGCAAGGTCCAAAAAAAGTTTCAAGTGTGGAATGCAAAATGTTATCAGTAAAACCCACTCCTTGGCTGTGATTGTAGCTGGTGCCCTGGCTGACACACTCCCAATAACTCTGTTCAGGCTTGTGCAGATAAGCTGAAAAGAGAAATGGAGTTGTATGGTTGCCCACCGGAATTTCCTGATGAGGAGGAGGAAGAGGAAGAAAATTCTGGTAAAAAAGAGGAAGAAATTATCATCAAAGACAAAGCAAAAGGCAAAAAGGTAAAGTTTAAACCAAGCCTTCCTGGACTGAGAGCTGTGCTGTCATGGTGTGCACATTATAGGCTTTTCTTCCTTTGGCCTCACAGAAACCTTGATACAAAGATTTTTTTTTTCAAGGCAGCTGAGTTACCTTTAGGGTGGACTTGAAAAACTATTTTCACTTACCAGGTATTTAAATGAGATTTAAGCTTTTGGGAGTATCCCAAAGCAAGGCAAAGAATCAAGTCTGACCAAAGTTTAGAGATGCTCTCTATGTTGTTAATGTATGCTCTGTATGTATGTTAATGTATTCCAGAGGAGATTGTCCCTCTGGAACTGCTGGGTTTGGGGTTCTGGCTGCTCTACAGGACAGAAGGTGTGACCTTGCCTGGGTCACTGCTGGGGAAGGTCAGGAGATTCTCAAGGGACAGCAGCTGGGAAAAGTACCATGAGCAAAGTGACAGCAGCAAAGGTTTTTGGTACAGGGGTGCAGGGCTATCCACCTTTCCACGGTGCAAAAACCCATGGGTTTGAGCAGGGCCTTGACAACAGGCAGTTCCTTGCCAGGTTGTGGTGGCAGAGCCTCTGGAGGTGTTTTGGACATTGGCATGGAACAGGAGGCTTAGGGAATGAGCAGGGAACACAAGGTGTGCTAGAATACACCCTGCATTCTACACCTCTGTGAACACAGGGTGTAGAGTGGAACTCCAATCAGTTATCCTCCCTGTTAGAGGCAGGATGTGAGAATGTTTGTATTAGCTTGTGTATCTGGAACCAGAAACCAGAACATTAACAGAGGCAAATGCTCTTGTGACAAGACTGTGGGCTTCTTCCTAATCCCAACTGTTCTTTCAGAGCAAGGCTGCTGCCAAGACTGGCTCTTCCAAATACCAGTGGGGGATCATGAAGTCTTTGGGTCTGTCTGATGAAGAAGTGGTCAGTTTTTCTGAAGCTGAGCACTGGCTGGATTATTTCCCTCCCCTTGCTGTCCAGGATCTGAAGAGCATGGGATTGAAGGTGACTCTGGGTGATCCCAACCTCAGTTATGCAGGCAGCCATACCTCTGTTGTTACTGTGTTGGTGAATGTGTGCTTCTCCTTGAGATTTTCTGAGTAATACCAGCATAATTCAGGAATGTTTCTGATATTTATGGAATTAGT